CAACAACAGCACAGAGAGAGATAAGTTGGCCTAGTGGACAGAAAATCATGCTCCCAAACCAAAGATGGGTGACTCTACTCTGTGGCCCTCAGGCCTGCCTTTGTTTTTGGTGAAACATTCTTCCAGGTCACATAACCCTGGTATGTCCACTTGCTGTACAGAGGTAACCACTGGTTGCTGTGAAACCGAACACTGTGACACTGATGAGTCAAATGCGCTCATGGTTACCCATGGCTGACAGTGTTTGGTGGAGCTCCCCGATTAAAACAAGCTTGGAAGCAGGAGTGGCATCCACTTCCATAATAGCTTGTCTCTGGAAACGCTGAAAATCACACAAGTGTTGAGGACTTTCATTCACAGGGTCGTTATGAGTCGCCTGTGATTCAATGGCACTTAACAGCAACAACAACAACTGTTCTATTATATGACTAAACACTATTTATTTATTTGTTGGTGTGATTTTTCATTATTTCCAGGTTTGGCTGCTAATTATGAATAAAACTGCTATCAACATTCTTATGCATTTTGTGTTTGTTCAATATATTTTTATTTCTCTTGGATCAATGTCAACAAGTAAAGCTGCTGAGTAACATGGTGGGTATCTGTTTAACTTTGTAAGGAATTCCAAGTATGGTGTTTAATTCAGCTACCATATGCTACAGAATATGAGAGCTTTGACTCTTTTAGTTTATTTGCTACTGAAAAATCACCGAGTTCTCACTAAACTGTGAGCTTCCTGAAGGCAGAGAGCATTTCTGACAATGCACAGCCCCAGGGGTGGCACAAGGTGGGTTTGGTGACGGATATATATGAGGCAGCTAACATACTAATGGCACTTTTCAGTTTAGGTAGGCTTCAATCAAAGTATTCCTGGTGGCAGAACTTGGCTGCTAGCCAAAAGGTAGGCTGTTCAAACCTACCAGTGGTTCTGCAGGAGAAAACCCTGGTTTCCGCTCCCATAAAAATTAAAGCTTAGCAAACCCAAGAAATTAGTTTTTACCAACAGATTATACAGAGAGATTTGTCTCCAAGAGATACTTTTCTGGTTGAATACCTTTTATTGATGGGAGAAGATTGTCCACTTGTTAGGACCTTAGACCCAGCATAAAAATTTGCTGAAGAAGCAATGAAGGAGGAAAGAACCTGAGCCCACCATGCAGGGTCAAATTTAGCAATTACAGTTACAGGTGTTCAAACCAGATCACCTTCATATCCAAGAGTTCCCTTGTAAGAAGTCACTATCCTGTTCCTGAGAGTAATCAGTAGTGTATTTGCAGTCTGAAATTGTTTTTTTTTTGTTTTTTGGTTTTGTTTTGTTTTTTTTTTTTTTTTTTCAAAATAAGCATTGATCTTAACTAAATGCCTTAAGTGACAGCTAGATTTCTGGTACTTATTATGAAACAACTGATAAGTTACCATGGCCATATCATGCCTGTAGAGTTTAATTTACTTATGATTACAAACCTATTAAGACGTATGATGAAGATATGGGAAGATAGAAGCAGAGAGGGAAGTTGCACACCAGTTACAAGGCATCCAGCACGTCAGATCACTTCTTTTGGATTCAGGTTACACAGAACCCAAGTGAGAACACTTATTCATGTTTCTGCCCACCTACCTACTAGAGAGAGTGTACATTTCAAATGAGATACTTCTGGTTTTTAATCCCAATTCTGCCATGTACTGCCGAGAAATCCATTATGTTACTTGTTTAACTCTCTGATTTGGATTGTCATCCTTGTGAATTGAAGATCATACAGAGATTATAGGGATGGTATAGGAAAAAGGTAAAGTGAATAAAGCTCCTATCTGTAGGTGAGAACTTTGACAAAAAGTAGACTACAGCGCGGTATATAAGAGCATTAACTGGTGTTTGCTTGACTAAGCACCAGACCCACTAGTAGACATGCAGTCTTATTGCTGCTGAAACTCACATAAGTGACCACAGTACTTCCTAGGCTGTGAGTTGAAGTCCAAGGTTCAGTCTTCTGGGTGTCCCTGGTTCCTTTGGTTTTACTGGGTCTTCCCTTTCTTCAAGATTATATGACAAATGATTTCTTTAGTTTCCCTCCCACACAGTGGAGGCAATTCCCATCTTCATCTCTGTCTCTCTATGGATTCTCAGAGGATCTACATTTCTTTTTTCTTTTTTTTTTTAGATGCTTCTTGAGTGTCTGCTGCCATGGAATTTTCCATCTGTTTATGTCTTGCCTTTTTCTTTTTTTTTTTCCATTCTTCCTTGAATCAAATTGTCAAATGCATCTTTTCTTTTCTTTTTTTACATCTTTTCTTTTTAAACAAGGTTATTTCCTTTTAATCTCTTACCTTTCCTCTCTTGCAAATAATAAGTTTGTCTGTTATTACTTATTCGAAGATAAGATCCTATTCTAGAGTCTACCTGTATTTCTGGTATCTCTCTTCTTTTTCTAAATTTCTGGAGCAGGGTTCTAGATATAATAGTTTTACTTGATAGCTTTATTTCTCAATTCAAATGTTAGTGCAAGCTTGTGACCCAATTACATTCTCTAGTACATACGTGCCTGGGTATATACATATTGAAATACATATTTTATAATATGTTACTAGGTTTACTGTACATAGGATTTTTGGAGGCCTGTTATATTTCAGAAGTGGATGGTTAATCCTTCTTCCTAGTCTGTCTTAATCTAGATGCTTAACTTTGGAAAAATATATTACAGATAAGCATTTTCGTTAAAGAAGCAAATGAAAGATACTTCCCTTTACATGGATAACCATATGTGCAGTGCCGTCCCTCAAATATGTGTCTTGTCCCTTCCCTTTGCCTGAATATTAGCATCATTTGCACTCCCTCTTCTGCCATCCAGCACCCCCTTAATTAAATCAGTTCATACCAGCTGAACCCAGACTAAACCAAACCAAACTGGTTATTATAAGCTAAAACAATTTCAAACAGGACTAACTTGATTCAAGCCAGTCTGACCAGTGCAGACTTGTTTCAATCATACTAAACTGCACCAGATAGGCTCAACTGAAACAAACCAGTTCAAACTGGTCTGAGCCAGTTCAGACTGGACTAATTGTTCAGTTTGGTTTGGGTTAGTCTGGGTTTAACTGGTTTGAACTGATTTAATTTTACTTGAATTTCATTTAACTGAAATCTTACAAATAATATTGCTAATTCATTCAATATACACTTTATCTTATAATATTGATTATAATTGATTAATGTGAATGAAACTGGGTCAGAATGACTAAAACCAGTTCAGAGCAATTCAAGATAAGGGAATTCAAAGGCACGCAGTTCTAATCCACCAGCTGTTCCATGGGAGATAGATGAACAATCCTTTCCTGTGTTATTTACGGCCTCTGAAAACCCACTGGAGGATCAGCTATGAGTCAGTTCCAATTTTACATTACACAACAACTACAATAACTCATCATATAAACTCTACAATATATTATAATTTAACAAGTGAATCAATGTCTTTGGATTGGGATGATAGAGAAGTGTATTGAATATCCTGTCAACGAGCAAAAGAACAAACAGATGTATTTGTCTCACTTATTCTGGTTATATTTTCAGGAGGAACTTGTCATTGGAGAGAGACACGCTTGGAAAGGTAGAGGGAATGTAAAAGAAAGGAAGACCCCCAACAAGATAGATTGATGCAGTGGCTACTGCAATGGGCTGGAACTAACACTTTGATGCATAACAAGTGATTGCAAAGACCATAGACTGTATCAGATGAACCTTAGTCTCCAGAGTGACACCATTGCTCTTCAGTACCCTGGAGAGGTCCCTAACAGCAGACTTTACCATCACAATACGTTTTTTTATTTCCTGGATGCTGGTGTCAAGTGTTGACTGTGGAGCCAAGCAAACTAAAGTTGTGAACAATCTCAATCCCTTCACCATCCATCGTGATGCTGCCAATTGGTCCAGTGGTGAGAATCTTTGTCTTCTTGACATTGAGCCTCAATCCATACTGAAGGCTGCAGTCCTTGACTCTTTGCAGCAAGTACATCAGGTCCTTGTTTGATAATTTCCACATTCAGTTGGATCACCTTTCTTGGAAATGGGAACAAATATGGACCTCTTCCAATCTGTTGGCCAGTCACCATCCTCCAAATTTTCTGGCATAAACTGGCGAGTGCATCCAAGGCGGAATCTGTTAATTGAAACAAGTCAATTGGTATCCTACCGATTCCAGGAACTTTTTTTTTCCCAATCCCTTCAATACAGCTTCTACTTCCTCCTTCATTACCATTAGTTCCTGTTCATATAGTACTTCCTGAAATTGTTTAGTGTCAATCAATTGTTTTTTTCTTGTACATTGACTCTGTGTATTTCCTCCCTCTTCTTTTGATGCTTTCTGGGTCATTCAATATATTACTCATAGCATCTTTCAATATTGTGACAGAAGGCTTAAATTTGTTTTTTTGGTTCTTTCAGCTTGAGAAATGCAGAGAGAGTTCTTCCCTATTTATTCTCCAATTTCAGCTCTCTGCACATTCCATTATAATACTTTGCTTGGTCCTTCCAGGTTCTCTTTGAAATCTTCTGTTTGTCTGTTTCATTTCAACATATTTTCCTTTAGATTTGGCTTCTCAATGCTCCAGTGCAATCATTAGAGTATCTTCTGACATCCATCTTTATTTTTTTCACTCTCCTGTTTTTGTAATGACCTTTTGTTTTCTTCAGGGATTATATTGCTGATATAATCTCACAAATCATTTTGTCTTCTATCATTGATGTTGAATGCCTCAAACCTATTCTTTTTTTTTTACCCAAACTTATTTAGTTACTATGATTAACTGGCACCTCAATGGCACATGAACAACAAGAAGAAAAACAGGTAACATGACCCAAATTTATTTATTTATTTATTAAAGACACAATAAACTACTTTTACATTTATACAAAATTATAAAATAACTACTTTTTTCTCAATATGGGATACAAGATAGAGCATTTAATGACAAGGTAAAAGATATGTTTAATGTCTTCTGTTTCAAAGTCACCTTATTGAACGGTACATCATGAAATCTATAGTTGTACATCTAGGAAATTTGCCAATGGAGCTCTCTTCCACTGGTGTATATATTTTAATTTGTCTCATGTGGGTGTCTCTTCCGTTTTGATGATTGGCTAGAACAGCAATTTGTATCATGAATGTTCGAGTTGGCTTCTTATGATTATCAGTTAAGGGGACATGAATCCAGCCACTTGGTTCCACCAATTCCAGTTGCCGAATCTCCTGAAGGTTGTGAAAATTATTTCCAACTCTCACTGAGATTTTGCTTGGGGTATAGCTTTCATCGGATTTGTAGTCTGCATAAATGCATAATGTCTTCACTGTTGTTTTCCTTCTGAATTGGATGTTCACTAAATGAGGCTGGGAACCATCTGATTGCCAGTAAGTTTCTAGGTTGTCATCTTGTAGCTGATCTACACCAAATCCTGGCTGAGCCGTGCAGTTCAGATGTTGGAGGATCTCCCGCAGCTCCGTGCCACTCCCACTTCACTTTTCAGGACCACCAGGGTTTCCCAACGACCTCAAACCTATTCTTAAGATGATCGTGAAATTCAGATGGAATTGATTCAAGATCATATCTTGCTTCCTGTGGACTTATTTCATTTTCTTTAGCTTCAATTTGAAATTGCATATGAACTCCCATTTGATAGGACTGTCCTTAATTGGCTTTTTGAGGAAAAGCTTTTGAATCTCAAAAGTGCTGCAGATGGGATTTGGATTATATTTGGATTCTAGTAATAAATTATACAATAAAAGGGAATGTGCAAGGATTTTCACTTTACTATATCATCTTTCACACTCTGGAGACTGAGGTGCACCTGATACAGGCCATGGTCTTTGCAATCACTTGCTATGTGTCAGAGAGCAGGCCAATGACTAGTGAGGATAGAAAGAGAATTAATTCCTTTGAGCTGTGGTGTTGGAGAAGAGTATTGAATATACCATGGATTGCTAAGAAAATGAACAGGTTCATCCTGGAGAGGTTAATACCAGGCTGCTCCTTGGAGGCAAAGATTTTAAAGCTTCATCTGACATACTTTGGACATGTTGTAAGGAGAGACCAGTCCTTGGAAAAGGACGTCATGCTTGGGAGGTTGGAAGGACAACACAGGAGAGGAAGACCCTCTATGAGGTGGATTGATTCTGTGATTGGGGTAATGGTGCTAGGTGTGTCGGAGATTGTAAGATTGGCACAGGACAGAGCAGGGTTTAGGGCTGTTGTACATAGGGTCACTATGAGTCACAGGCAACTCAAGGGCACATAACGACAAGTGATTTACTTACAAAGTTCATGTACATTGTTTTTCACACAGGATCTTCCTTATTTCCTTTACCCACCCTACCCTCTACCCATCACACTGTGTGACTACACCCTACCCGTCCTCACCCCTCAACTCTTACCTTCCTCACCTTGGATCCCCATACATGTCTTACTAGTTCTAGTTCTTTTTCTGTTTCTACAGTAATGGTCTTATATAGTATTTGTCATTGTGAGACTGAGTTAGTTCACTTAGCTAAATGCTCTCTAGTCCCTCTCAACTTAGGCAGTGATTTTCAAAATCATTACTCCTACATGTTACATTGTATTCCACCACATGAATATACCATAATTTCTCAAACCATGCAATTGTGATTGGACATTTGGGCTATTTCCAGGTTCTTGTGATGGTGAATAACACTGCTATGAACTTTGGTGTACAGATCTCCATTTGTGCCTCAGTTCTAATTTTCCCAGAGTATGTTCTGAGCAGTGGAATAGCTGGGTCATATGGATTTCTACATTCAGCTTTATGAAAAAATGCCAAACTGCCTTCCAAAGTTGTTTACATTTTAAAATCCCACAACAGTTCTTAACTCTCCACATCTTCTCCAATATTTATTACTTGCTGCCCTATTAAACTTTGCCACTGCTACTGGGGTGCGATGGTATTTGATCGCAGTTTTGATTTGCATCTTTCTTATTGCCAGTGATTTTGAGCATTTCTTCATGTGTCTGGTGGCCATTGAAATATCTTCCTCTGTGGAAAGTCTTTCCATGTCTTTTTCCCATTCTGTAATCGTGTTATCAGTATTTCTCTTGTGGAGGCCCTAGAGGATTCTGCAAACTTTTGATGCGGACCTTTGTCAGAAGTGGCATTGCCAAATGTTTTCTCTCAGCTAGTAGGTTTTCTTTTCACTCAGTTAGAAAATGTTTTTAATGCACACAAGGATTTAATGATTAAAAGGTCCCATTTATCAATTTTATTCTCAAGATTGTGCATTTTTGGCTGTATTTGGCAGTCTCTTTATATCATCTAGGCTTGATCCCAGTTTGTCTCTTAATAACTTTATGGTTTGAACTTTACTCCTAGGTCTCTGATCTAACTTGAGTTGATTTTTCTGTATGATGTGAGGTGTGGGTTCTGTTTCAGCTTTCTGTAGGTAGCAGTCCAATTTTTGAAGAGGTTGTCATTTCCCCATTTGATAGGTTTTATTTTTTTGTCAAGTATCAGTTGACCATAGATAGATTGGTCCATTTCTGGGTTCTGAATTCTGTTCCATTAGTCTATGTGCCTATCACTGTACCAATACCGTGCTGTTTTGGTTACTGCCACTGTGTTTTGAGGTCAGGGAGTGCTATGCCTCTCACTTCATTTTTGTTTTTCTGAAGTGTTTTGCTTATTTGGGGTCTTTTTCCTTTCCAAATAAACTTGACAATTTCTCTCTCAATCTCCTTGAAGAATGAATTTTGTATCTGTACTGGGATTGCACTGAACATGTAGATGGCTTTTGGTAAGATAGTCATTTTCACAACATTGAGTCTTCCTATCCATGCTTGACTCCACAGTCAACACTCTTGGCACCAGCAGTGAGGAAATCAAAAGGAGAATAGCACTGGGAAAATCCACTGTCAGGGACCTTTCCTGAGTACTGAAGTTCAACAATGTTAGTCTAGAGACTAAGGTGTGTCTGACCCAGGCCATAGTCCTAACAATTACTTGCTATGCATCAGAGAACTGGACAATAACTAAGAATGATGGAAGAAGAATTGATGCCTTTGAGTTGGAGGCTGTGGAAGGATGTTGAACATACATGCTATTGACCACCAAGAAAACAAATAAATCTGTCTTGGAGAGGGTGACACCAAGTTTCTACTTGGAGGCTAGAATTTTGAAGCTCTATTTCATAAATATTGGGCATGTGGCCAGAAGGGACCGGTCCTTGAAGAAGTACATTTTTCTTGGAGGGGTGGAAGGACAGTACAGGAGAGGAAGACCCCAGATGAAATGGATTGATACAGTAACTGAGACTGGCTCAGAAGAGGGCAGGTTTCAGAGTTGTTGTACATAGGGTCACTATGAGTTGCAGGTAACTCAGGGCACATGACAATAACAACAATACCCATGAACAGGGAACATTTTTCCATTTATTTAGGTCTTTTATTGTGTCTTTCAGAAAGATTCTGTAGTTTCTTTGTACAGGTCTTTTTTGTCTCTAGTTAGATTTACTCCCAAGTATCTCAATTTGTGGTTCACTGTTGGCTTGGTTTTCTTCTCTGAGTTCTCTTTGTTACTGTAGAGGAATCTCGCTGATTTTTAGATACTGATCTTTTATCGTGGTACTCTATTAAACTGGTCTATTAGCTTGATCAGTTTTGGGTTTTTTGTTGTAGAGGCCTTGGAGTTTTCTGTATATACCATCATATCACCTGCATATAACAACAGTTTAACCATTTCTTTGCCAAACTGGAGGTCTTCTATTTCATTCTCTTGTCATATTGTCCTAGCAAACATTTCCAATACAATACTGAATAAAAGTGGTGACTGTGGGCATCTTTGTCTGATCCCTGTTTGCAAGGAAAATGCTTTTAGACTTTCTCCATTGAGAATGATATTGGCTCTTGGTTTTGCATATATATTTTTCACTGTGTTGAGGAAATTCCCTTTTATTTCAATTTTGCTGAGTGTCTTTATCAGGAAGGAGTGTTGAATTTTGTCAAATACCTTTTCTGCATCAATTGCTAAGATCATATGTTTGATTGTTTTTCTTATGTGGAATCATCCTTGCATTCCTGTTATGAATCCCAGTTGGTCATGATCAATTATATATATATATTTAGATACTATTGGCTAAGATTTTGTTAAGGACTTTTACATCTATATTCATGAGAGATATTGATCTGTATTTTTCCTTCATGGTAATAACTTTTCCTGGTTTCGGTATTAGGGCTATGCTTGCCTAATAGAATGACTCAGAGAGTATGCCTTCTTTTTCTTTTTAAAAATTCTTTAAGAAAAGTTAGTAATAGATCTTCTCTCAATGTTCAGTAGAATTCAGCTGTGAAGTCATCTGGTCCTGGACTTTTATTATGGGAAAGTCTTTTTATGACCTAATCAATTTCTTCTTTTTTGATGGGTCTGTTCAAGTGTTCTACATCTCTCCATGTCAGTCTGGATAATGAGTTTCAAGGAATTTGTCCATTTGCTCTAGGTTTTCGAGTTTATCTGAGCATAGCTTTTCGTAGTATTCCAAAATTATTGATTTCATTTCAACTGGTTCTATTGTTACTTGTATCATTTCTTAATCAAGTTATCTGTGTCTTCTCTTTTTTTTCTTTTGTTAAGTTTGCCAGTGGTTTGTCAATTTTATTGACACTTTCAAAAAACTAGCTCCTGGTCTTATTGATGGTTTCAGTTGGTTTTCTATTTTCTCTCTCGTTGATTTCAGCTCTTGTCCTTAAAACAATCTTAATCTTTTAGAGGCTTTAGGATTAGATTATTGTTCTTTTTCTAGTTGTTAAATGTGTTGACTTTGATCACTAGGTTTGTTTTGTGGGGTTTTTTTCCTTACTTTTTATGTGCCTATTGCTATGAACTACCCCATGAGGATGGCCTTAGTTTCATCCCAGAGGTTTGGGTGTGTTGTATTTCAATTATCATTAGTTTCAAAGAACTTTTTTTATTTCATCCTTTATTTCTTTTATAAGCCAATCTTGTTCTGGAAGAGAATTAGTTTCCTCATGGGTGTTTTTGTAAGCTTTACCCTACTGTAATTAATTTCTAGTTTATATCATTGTGGTCTGAGAAGATATTTTGTATTATTATTCGAATGTTTTGGTATTTGTTGAGATTTGCTTTGAGTCCTAATATGTAATAGATTCTGGAGAAGTCACTATGTGAATTGAGTCTTATTTGGGTGCATTACCCTGAATACATCGACAAGGTTGAGTTGGCTTATTTTATAGGTTAGATCTTCTGCATCTCTTCTAAGTTCCTTTTGAGTTGACCTATCCTTTAGTGACAGTGGTGAGTTGAAGTCTCCTATCACTATTGTGGTGCTGTCTATTTCTTTCTTCAATTCTGTTAACCGTTGTGTTATATATTTTCAGGTCTGTCATTTGGTGCATGAATGTTGATCATGGTTATGTCGCCTTGATCTATTGTGCCTTTAGTTTTTAGTTTTTATTCTGAAACCTATTTATCAGAGATTAATATTGCCACTCCTGCTTTTATTTGTGGTTGTCATTATTTGCTTGGTATTTTTTTCCAGCCTTTGATTTTGAGTCTGTCTTTCTCTCCATTTTTTAGATGTGTCTCCTGTAGGCAACATATTGATGGGTTGTTTATTTGTTTTATTGTTGTTTTTGTTTTATATCTATTATACTACTCTTTTTCTCTTGATTGGCACATTTAGTCCATTTACATTAAGTGTGATTATTGTTAGGCCAGGTTTTACCATTGCCATTTTGCCGTGTTTCTTTTTCTGTTGTTTCTGGTTACTATGGTCGATCTACTTCCTTTGGTTTCTCCATTTGTAGGACTTCACTTAAAATCTCTTGTAATTTTGGTCTTGTTTTCACAAATTTCTTCATTTCTTTTTTTTCCCTCAAAGGGCCTAATATTTCCTTCACATTTGATGGAGAGCTTGCTGGATGTAGGATCCTTGGCTGGCAATTATCTTCTTTCAACTTTCTGTATATGCCATCCCATTGTCTTCTAGCTTGCCTGGTTTCTTCTGAGAAACCAGAATTTAATCTACTTGTTTCCCTTTTGTAGGTGACTCTTTGTTTTTCTCACACTGCTTTTAGTATTCCATCTTTATCTTTTAATTTGGAGAATTTGACTATGATATGTCTTGATACTTTTCTTTTTGGTTCTAGTCTAATTGGTGCTTGCTGTGTTTCTTGAATGTGTATTTTCTAGTTCTTCAAAATACCTGGGAAATTTTCTTCTAGTACTTCTTCCACAATGTTCTCAGTGACTTACATGTCTCTCCCATGTTCTGAAATTCCAGTCATATGTGTATACTGTTCCTTTTGATGTCATCCCACATGATTCTAATGTTTTTTTTTTTTCATTTTCTTTATGCCTCATGTCTGATTTTTATGCTAGTATGTTTCCTGTGAGGCTTTAGTCTTCCAGCTCACTGATTCTCTGTTCCATATCTT